CCGACGGCCCACCGGGGGTCACCCAGCAGCCACTATAGATGGGGAGAGGGGAGACTGAGGCCGACTCACACCGTGGAAGGCAGAGTTGGAAGTCACACCAGCCAGGCCGGCTCCAAAGTCGGGGTCCTCAGAGGCAGGGCGAGTCCCAGCTGCGTACAGGGTGGTGGGGCCTGGGCCTGTGGGGACAGAGAAAGGTTCACCCACTCAATGACGATTTTAAGAGAGGTACCGTTGCCATAGCCAGCCGGCTGCTCTGGGGCTGGGAGGAGCGGCCTCCCTTCCTGCTCCAGGCAAGTCTTCCCCCAGCCCTGAGATGGTGAGAAGGCCCAGCTGGGCTACAACCCACCGACCCAGGATGCCAAGGGACGGGTGCCATGCCAGTTACGCAGCAGAGGTGGGAGGGGAGCGCCCGCCTGGGGGACCTGACCCTCCACTCCCCTTGGCAAGGACAGCTTCGAGCGCGTTATCAGGCGCAGACACAAGTACCCCTGGGACCCAGGAAGAGTCTGGCTCCCGGGCGCCTGGGTCGCAGTCTGGCCGAGAGCCGTTCTGCACCGTGGTGCCACGCCTCTGCACCGGTGCCACACCGGATGCCCCGACCTGCGTCGGAATAGCTGGTCTCTGGGGCAGCGAGGTGGTGCGGCTTTGCAGGCAAGGAGCTGGTAGCTGTGTGAGCGTGGCTGCCTCTCCGGGGTTTCTGAGCCTGGAGAGAAGGGTCAGGGGGACAAGGAGGAGTGGGAGAGCAGGCCGTGTGTCCTCGTCCCACCGCTTCCTGGGGCCCCTGTCAGGGCTGCTCATCTGTCTTGGGGCTCAGTGGGCTCTGGCCAGGGGCCTTGCCTGGAGAGCAGGGTCTGTGCAGCCCGCTGGCCCTGATGCTCTGGCCTGCCATGAGCAGTGTGGCTCCAGTCTCCCGCTGTGCGAGGTTTTCTGCAAGGCTGCCACGTAGCACCCACACATCCCCCGCTGTGGGTCTTCTGGGTCCCCGATGCCTGGAGGGTGAGGGTTGGAGTCACTTTCCTCGGGTCCTCCCTGTGGCCAGGGTCCCCGCGTGGAGAATGGGAACACCCCCGACTACCACCACTCTGTAGGCCAGGGGAGGGCCAGGGGAGACGGCCACTGTCTGCAAGCCCTCCTGTGCTCCTTACCCTGCTGCTGTTGGTGGGACAGGAACACTGCGAGTCCAGGTTGCAGGCCTAGGAGGCATCACACACCCCGGCCGCGCGGGGCGGTCCCCAGGGGAGAGCCTGCGGACGGCGTGGAAGGCCGATTTCTGAGCACCACACGTCTGCGGTTTTAGTTTCCTTTTTCTCTGTCTTCTTACTTGCAATGTTCGCGAGTTTGACAGCGGAGGTTCGTATGTTACTTGTAAAGCAAAGTCCGCCGTAAACACTGTGGAAGAAGACGAACCAGACAGGAAATGAACTCAAGCTGTCACGTGCCCGCGGCGTGAACAGAAAGGAAGCCCGGAGGTGGCCTTTTCTGAGCAGTGGGGCTTGCAGTTAGGACACCCCCTGGTCCCCTCCGAGCCTGTGCCCTGACGTCGGCCCCGCGGTGCTGGCCGGGACAGCCCGGTTCCCCACCCTCCTCCCTGCCGGGCCCTGGGGCAACCATCTATTGCCTGTTCCAGGAAAGTGCCCATGTTCGGCCTGGAGGCCATCTGGAGGAACGGCCAGGTGGTGGGCCACACCCGGAGGGCCGATTTCGGGTTTGCCATTGACAAGACCATTGCCTACGGCTACATCTGCGACCCCAGCGGGAGGCCGGTGAGTCTGGCTCTCTGGCCCCGCGAGGGGAGCCTTGGTCCGAGTGAGGGTGGGGGCTGCAGGCCGGGGCCCAGCGTGGGAGGAAGGAGGGCTGAGGAGGGCATCTGTAGCTTTCCAGACAGCCCTGGCCCACCCCTGCCCTGGGCCATGGACCCCAGAGGAACCCGGGAGCCAGGCTCCCCCTGGGCCCACCTTCCTCTGCCCTCCTGCTCACCCAGACACTGTCTGGCCCAGCCAACCAAAGCTCCCCCCCTGCTCCCCCAGACACTGTCTGGCCCAGCCAACCAGGCTTGGCCCCGGCTGTGAGGGCCAGGGCGGGAGGCGCCGGTGGAGGGCGGGCAGGAGCAGGCAGCCCGGGGCCCTTCTTTGGGCCAAGTGCCAAGACAGCTCTGGATGCCAGGGCCGAAGGGGGAAGGATGGTCATGCCCCTCCAGGAGAGCCGACTGTGTGGGTCTGCCTTCGCCCTAGGCCTGGGTGAGGTTCCACCGTGGCCCAGGCCCAGAGGCGCACAGCTCGGAGAACACTGCAGAGC